ACAGGGAAGAAGGAATGTGAAGATGGGGGCAGAGATTACAGTGACACATCTACAATCCAAGGAATCCCAAGAATTGCAGGCAGCCACCAGGTGCTGGGGAAGAGGCATAAAATGGTTTCTGCCTCAGAGCTTCCAGAAAGGACCAACCCTGATGATACTTTGAATTTAGATCCTTGGCCTACAGATTTATGAGAGAATCAATTTCTGTTGTTTTAAGAACCCCAGTTTGCAGGAGTTTGTTGTGGTGGCATCACAGAAAACTAATGCAGATTTCTGTCTTAAGTCTGCAAATTCTGCATTTGTTAGGTAGTGGAAGAATACAAACAAGTTTTATTCTAGAAGGTAAACTGCAAATATTCTTATGATCTTAACCCAAACAGATCTGTATATGCAAAGAATATCAATACAGTGAAAACATATACCAGTCTAAAAATATAAGCTTTTTTTTCTTTGCCAACCCATACACTTCTCTGAAAACTACTTTCCTTGAACCCTGGCAGCCATTGTTACGATGTATGAACTTGCCTTTCTTTTGTAACTGCAGCTGTTTGTCCCCAGGGGCAAGGGATTCCTGGCTTCTTAGGCTAAACAAAATCTTTTCCCTAGTACTTTGTAATTAGAGTTCAAAACTATTGGTTGGTTTTTACTGGCTTTCAAATGAAGGACACATCAAGTTGAGAGGGCTCAGGTGACCATGAGCCAACAACATGGAAAAACTGCAAAGAGAAAAAGAAAGAAGCAGACATACAGATACAGACTGGATAAAAGACTATCTAAGGGCACCTGGATGGTTTAGTGGGTTGTGTCCAACTCTTGATTTTGGTTCATATCATGATCTCATGGTCATAGGATTGAGCCCTGTGTTGGGCTCTGTTCTGGATACGGAGCCTACTTGAGATTTCTCTCCTTCTCCCTCTTCCCCTTCCCACTTGCTCTTTTCCCCTCTCTCTCCCTAAAAACAAAACAAAGTAAAACCAAAGAGAACATAAACAATAATAGCCCTAGAGAACAAGGGACCAAGAGGATCTTCATAACAGATTGATCACCACTGAGAGGCAGTTAGGGGATGGTGTATAAGACTTGGGGGGCTCTGATGCCAGATGGATTTGGGTGAGTTACTTGACCCTCTTGATTTCCTCACTGTAGTTGGGACTAATAACAATACCTCCATGAAACAGTTCCTTGGATTAAATGTAAGAAACACTTAGGATGAGTTAAGGTAAATTAAGTGCATTAATATGAAACACTTAGAAGTGTACATCACATGTATGCAGGAGATGTTGGCTGTTATTATTATTACCTTATCACCCAAAATAGCTTTTAAATCATCTCATGCTTCTTCTATCATTTTATGCTTATTGGTAAGTAGCACATTTAACTGGCTTTTCTATATACGTTTATACTTTTAGTTTTGCAGTACATTAAATTACCGTAACAAAGACTAAAAATTAGTCACAGCACAGGAAGTTTATTTTTTCCCTCTCTGACAGCATTTTAAGTCAATAAACATCCTATAACACAAATAAAATAGTAAAAAGCAACTTAGTTTCTGGGTATATTTATTGTGGGTATGTTTGTTTACACCTACTGATTCTCTTTCAATGTGCATAATTGGCACAGTCTTATTTTATTACATCAGTGTGTAAAGCAAGTCACAGTGCCTACTCTGGTTTAAACAAAAACATTGTATTAGAAGGGTCATCTGGGTGGCTCAGTGGGTTAAATGTCTGACTCCTGATCTCGGCTCATGGTTCATGAGATCAAGCACTTGTTATCCAGGGAGGTAAGCAATTAGTTTCAGCTTGCTAGCTTAGGAGGGTAGCAGAATTCCTATTAGAGAGGCAGTTGTACATCTGTTTAGGAAAATACATGAACAGATTTTGGCCTTCTAGGTCAGGTTCAGACAACGAAGAGTTTAGTAATTTGCCTATTACTGAAACAACAATTTTTAGTTTCTTCCTGAGTGAGTCTTGGAGATCCAAATTCTCAGATGTTGGAGGAATCCTGGAACAGAGAGGCCTGGCCCCACAATACCCTGGTTAGCCCCAAAGGGAATCTGCTAGAGGTGGCAGTACAGCAGAGAGGTTTTGGGGCAGAGATAGCTGTTACTCTTGAAAATTGGTTACTTTTTTGTGCTTTGCTGTAATTCCATTTCATCAGCCCCAAATCTTCAGTACCAACTGTTATGCACTAGTATTCAGGCACAAGACAGAGCTATTTAGAGCCAAACAGACATAGGAGCCACATGGGCTACACAGGAAGTCATCTTGACACAAAAGGTATACAGGAGCCTCTCATTGTGATGTAAATACCAGAGACGTCAGGGGACTCTGTGTGTCAGCTGTTTTTTTAAGAGCTTCTTTAGAAATTTGTTAATCTTTTTAGAGAAACTAGGCAGAACACAACTACTTGGGTTGTTAAATAATCTAGTAGCACATTTACTAGGGGCAATCTGCTTGTGCTTTACTTAAGGAATACTACTCAGAGATTAAGAAGAATGAAATTTCGCCATTTGCAACAATGTGGTTGGAACTAGAGGGTGTTATGCTAAGCAAAATAAGTCAGTCAGAGAAAGACAGATACCATGATTTCACTCATGTGGAATTTGAGATACTCGACAGACGAACATTGGGGAAGGGAAGGAAAAAAAAAAAAAAACTGAGAGGGAGGCAAACCATAAGAGACTCTCAAATACAGAGAACAAACTGAGGGTTGCTGGAGGGAAGGTGTGAAGCGGGGCTGGGTTAAATGGGTGATGGGCATTAAGGAGGACAGTTGTTGGGATGAGCCCTGCGTACCATATGTAAGAGATGAATCAGTGGTTTCTACTGAAAGCAAGATTACACTGTAGGTTAACTAAATTGAATATTAAAAAAAAAGGGGGGGGCAATAAGAAACCAGACATCCTTGCAGTGATAACTGTAGCAACTTGAAAAGGGCTTATGACTAGTTTCCAAACTCTGACACATCTGTAAGCACAATGGGGTGGACATTGGTGTGATGACTATTACAATGAGACCTTATCAATAAACCAAGGGTGCTAACATCAGCATTTGGAGGTTGTAGTAAATTGGCCTCCCCCCAATCCAGATATTAGGGAAATAAAATTACCCTTTAAAAGCAATGATGTTTTAAAAAGTTATTATTGGAACATGGACAGAACAGTGTAATAAACTCCCAAGGACTCTAACACCCAGTTTTATTAATAATCAAGCTAATTTCATCTTTATCCCATTCTCTATTCCCCTTCATAATTTTATCATTCCACTAATAAATATTTCAGTCTGTATCTCTAAAAAATGATTATTTTATACATAATGATAATATAATCATCACATTGAAAAATAATTGATAATAATTTCTTAATATCATTAAATATTCACATTTAAAAAATTTGTTTCAATTAGGATCAAACAAAGGCCACACTTCTCTTCCCCTCTTTTTTTTCCCATGTGATTTATTTGTTGAAGACTCTGGGACATTTGTCCTGTAGTTTCCCTTATTCTGGATTTTGTTGAGTACATTCCTGTTGTGTTGTTCAATAGATTTTTCTCTTCTGTGTATCCTATAGAGGGTAGTTAAATCTTGAGACTTGTTATGATATGGTTTAACTCCATCCTTTTTTTTTCTTTTCAAAATTATTTCATCAGTTGTAGTGGGTAATTTCATCAGGAGATATAAAATGTGTGACTGGCTTTATTTTTCTGTTAATATCAGCCATTGGTGATCACTGCCTAGTTATTTCTTAAAATATTCATTTATTTATTTATTTTGAGAGAGAGGGAGGGAGAGAATCCCAAGCAGGCTCTGCATTGTCAGCACAGAGTCCATTGCTGAGCTCGATCTCATGGACCATAAGATCATGAACTGAGCTGTAACCAAGTCGGTTGCTTAACCAACTGAGCTACCCAGGCACGCCATTGCCTAGGTTTTTTTGTTTGTTTGCTTTTAAATATTTTTTTAAATGTTTATTTCTGAGAGACAGAGTGTAAGCAGGGGAGGGCCAGAGAGAGAGGGAGACACAGAATCTGAAGCAACCTACAGACTCTAAGCTGTTAGCACAGAGCCTGATACAGGGCTTGAATCCATGAACTGTGAGATCATGACCTGAGCCAAAGTCAGATGCTTCACTTACTGAGCCCCTCAGGTGCTCTTTGCCTAGTTATTTTTAAGATTTGGCAAAAAGAAGTGTTATGCACACTGTATTATTTGGTACAAAGATAAATTTCTCTTATTAACTATTTGGTTAGTCTAAGGTAGTTCCTATAGGAAAGATAAGTTAAATCCTTGTTACCAGTTTTCAGAGTTTGAGTATGAATTAGGTATTATCCTTGAAAGGTGACCACTTTATTTTTAGTATTATTTATTATAATTAGTATATTATAATTATTTAATAATTACCTATTGTTATTAAGTACTTATTTTTTATTTAATATTTTACTAATAAATTTAAGCATATTTGGTATGTTTCAGTCCACTGTGGTTATTTTTCTCATGAAATTGGCTATCCTTACTGAAAGGAGGCCTCTTCAAGTTGGTTCTGAATTCTTTCTGACAACCTTGCTTTCTAATATGATAACAGTTTCAGGATTGTTAGTTTATTTCCTGACTCAGAACTACAAGCAGCCATTTCTCAAAGTAGCCTTAGTTCTATTTAGTGACAAATCATATTTAGAGATCAAGCTGAAGGTATCAGGGAGCTCATAGCACTTATTTCCAGGTGTTTTCATTGGACAGGAGTTAGGACTTTTTTAAAAAGGTAAATACATCATGAGCTCATTCTGATGTTCATAATTAAGTATCTACAGGATTTTTGCATAACCTCATTGATCCTACATTTATTTCTCCTTTATTCCATACAAGAAATCCAAGTTCTCAAAAACACCAATATAATTACTTATTTGTTTTGTCATGTGATAGGCACAGACAGCAGTGTCAAGAACACCACTATCAGCTACTGTACTGAAAGGTCATTGCTTTAAATTGTAAATCTGATCACATCACATCACATCTATCTCTAAACTCCTCATTTCTTTCCCATTCCCTGAAGAACAAAACCCGAGCATGTTAACACTCCATAACAGATACTTCATGATCTGACCCTGTACCATTGGTTTGGCCTGAAGTTCTCTGTTCCTCCTCCCTCCTGTTGAACTCTGAGTCATCCATCTAAGTACAGATCGGAAGCTTTTGTATTCCTCTAGTATAAATGGTCGCTCTTTCTCTGTTATTCCGTGCCTCCTACAGACTTTTATTCATGCTTTTACCAAACTGAATTCTCATTATTTACATTATAAGTGTGTTCTCTATTAGATTGTGCATGTTTCAATGGCAAGAGCCCATTTAATTTTGTATTCCCAGGATCTAAGGTAAGTCCATGATAAATAGAAGATGCTCAATTAATACTTGTTTAATTGATCTGATTTAGTATGACTGAAGAGTTACAACATCTAGCAGTTTTGTTTTCTGATGTTTAAGGAACTGTCTGTCGTGTTTTTAAGAAATTTTCTTTTCTGCTAGCAATAACATATTGCTAGGAATTAAAAAGAGGCACAAGGACATTATTCACAACGTCATAATTATTCTTGTATCGTTCAGTCTTATGGTAAATGCAATGATAATAGTAACATTAATATCTGTGAGCATCAGCAAACCTCTAGTCAATGACCCAGTAGTCATATCCCTAATGCTAACAGGCAGGATACTAGACAGTTTTCAGTGTCTGCGTTTTGCCCATTAAATAGATTGTATTTGTGTTATCACTCTTGATCAGGCTCAGTTCTGCCCCCACAGAGAACCAAGGCAGACAGTAAATTTATTCTCTGATATTCTTTTTTAACAGCTTTAAGCATTTGCTTTTCACAGTCATCAGGGAAATGAAGTTAAAACTACAATAGGATGGAGGGGATTACGAGGTATAAATTCCCCGCTGTGGAATAAATAAGTCACAGAGATGGGGTGCAGCATGGGGAACATAATCAATAATATTGTGATAATGTGATATGGTGCAGATGGTGATTACTCTTATCGTGGTGAGCATTAGTATGTATAGAATTGTTGAATCAAAATGTTGTACACCTGAAACTAATATAACATTGAATGTTAATTATACTTCAATAATAATCTACAATAGTATGCACTGTACACCCACTAGAGTAGCTAACATTGAAAAGTTAATTCAGTTTTCAACTTTTCCATGTAAAAACATTCTTCATATGTTAATAAATTGTCTTTTATTTCCCCTTCTTTTTCTCTAACAGCATCTATATAGATGCCAGGCCACTTCTGCTCTCTCCCTACCCTCTTTCTTATTTCTCATTGTTGTTTGAGTTGGAAATTTCTGGGTCATCTATTTTCCAGAGTTTCTTGTAGGTGAGAAGTTGCCAGATTAGCGATCTAGGCTAAGTGACTCTCTTTTTGTTAGTCACAAAATCAATTGCCTTCCTCCAGCCTAATTTGTCTTTATGAAGGCTTGCCTTTTTCTATCTATGTACCTAATAGTTCAGAATGGCCTTTCTACCAGCCCAGTCCTATTCCTGAACCATCTCTAGCAGAAAAAGGATGTGGTTTTTGCACTCAGGAGTACTGCTCACATTTGGGCAGTAGACATTTTAGTATGTGTGCTTATGATGTATATTAGTACTGGATTCTCTGTCTTCCACTGTCTCCCTTTATGTATCCTGGATGATCACTAGTTTTATCATCTGAAGTCAGCAGGTTTAGTTCAGGAAACCACAACAGTGCTCCAAGTGTTTCTGAGAACAGGGTGTGCAGAAGAGTTTTAGAAGCACCAGATGTTAGAAATCAACAGTAAATATTTACTCCCTAAAGGATGAGGCCTCTCATCAGTGACAACTGCTGTGATCAAAGAGGGCAGGTGTAACAGGAGAATTGAAGACAGTGGGTTTAGAATCTATTTGGGTGAGGACTCACACAGAGGTGGAAAATTCAAGAAAATAGCACTTCTAAAAGAAAGGGGAGGTAGAAAGTGGCAGTGAGAGGCAGGATCCCCTGGTGAAGGTGGCCTCTTCACAAGAGGTAGTGAAGATACCATAGAAGCTTGAGGCTGGTGATAGGAGCCTTTTTGAACCACGTTAAGATGTGAAATTTAATGAAGTTAGGTCCCAGAAGTGGCATTTATCATAGTAAGAGAGGAAGGAGCTCTTTAGCTGAGAAACTGGGAAAGCTACCCTTTCCCTTGCTTCAAAAGATTCTCCTTTCTAATTGAGAAAATCCAGCTCATTCAAACATGATCAGCAAAGTGCTTGTGCAGCTAGAACTAGATCCAGAGAAAACTACTCTAGGAAAACAAAAGAACAAAAAAGAACTGAAAATAAATACAAAACTTTTGTGTAGACTATAAACACTCATTAGAAAAATATTGCTCCAAAGCCGAGAAATACTGCAACACAACATCCCAACATGAATAAAGGGAGAAAAAGTTATGATGTACTCGCAACCAGGAAAGAAGGTAATAATAAAAAAAAATAAATACAAGGGGCACGTGGGTGGCTCAGTCGGTTAAATGTCTGACTTCTGCTTAGGTCATGATCCCACAGTTGGTGAGTTCAAGCCCTGTGTCAGGCTCTGTGCTGACAGCTTGGAGCTTAGAGCCTGCTTTGGATTCTGTGAGTCCCTCTCTTTTCCCCTCTCCTGCTTGCTCTCTCTTTTTCTCTGTCTCAAAAAAAGAAAAATACATACATACATACAAGAAGTCAGGGAAGACAGAGCCAACAAAGAGAAGGTGATGGTCAGTCAAAGAAGTATGTGAAATGATTAACTAGTAAAATTAGGAAAGAAATAGAAGACACAGAAAAAATAATTTTGAAAAAAAATATTTTTAATGTTATTTATGTTTGAGAGACAGACCATAAGCAGGGAAGGGGCAGAAAGAGAGGGAGGCAAAGAATCCAAAGCAGATTCCAGGCTCTGAGCTGTCAGCACAGAGCGTGACAGGGGCAAGAGAACCCACAAACGGTGAGATCATGACCTGAGCCAAAGTCGGATGCTTAACTGACTGAGCCACCCAGGCGCCCCCAAAATCATTTTATAAATAAAGACTCAATTACAAGGAGTATAAGGGGAAACGGATACTATATAAAGTGTAACACAAGACAGAAAACATATACACATGTGAGAAGTGAAGAAAGTGAAAGAAATAAGTAAAAATATTTTTTTACTTACATTTTAGTTACTTAACACACAGTGCAGTATTGGTTTCAGGAGTAGATTTCAGTGATTCATCACTTACATATAACACCCACTGCTCATCACAAAAAATGGCTTCCATAATACCCATCACCCATCTCCCCATCTCCCACCCACTCCCTCCATCAACCTTCAGTTTGTTCTCTATCATTAAGAGTCTTTTGTGGTTTGTTTCCCTCTCTTCTCTTTTTCTCCCCCTTTCCATATGTTCATCTGTTTTGTTTCTTAAATTCCACAAATGAATGAAATCATATGGTATTTGTTCTCTTATTGACTTATTTTACTTAACATAATACATTCTAGCTCCATCCACATCATTGCAAATGCCAAGATTTCATTCTTTTTGGTGGCTTAGTAATATTCCGCCATATGTAGATATTCCACATCTTCTTTTTCCAGTCATCAGTTGGTGGGCATTTGAGCTCTCTCCATAGTTTGGTTATTGTTGATAATGCTGCTATAAACATTGGGGTGCACATAACCCTTCAAATCTGTGTTTTTGTATCCTTTTAGTAAGTACCTGCTAGTGCCATTGCTAGATCATAGGGATTTCTTTGGAAAAGTGTCTATTCATGTCTTCTGCCCATTTCTTCACTGGCTTATTTCTTTCTTGGGTGTTGGGTTTGATAAGTTCTTTATAGATTTTGGATACTAATCCTTTATCAGAGATGTCATTTGCAAATATCTTCTCCCATTCCATACACCACTTTTAGTTTGGTTAATTGTTTCCTCTGCTGTGCAGAAGACTTTTATGTTGATGAGGTCGCAATAGTTCATGTTTACTTTTGTTTCCTTTGCCTCCTGAGATGTATCTAGTAAGAAGTTGCTGTGGCCGAGGCCAAAGACTTTCCTTCCTATGTTCCCCTCTAGGATTTTGATAGTTTCCTGTCTCACATTTAGGTCTTTCATCCAGTTTGAATTTATTTTTGTGTATGCTGTAAGAAAGTGATTAGTTTAATTTTTCTGCTTAATGCTGTCCAGTTTTCCCAACACCATTTGTTGATGGGACTATCTTTTTTCCATTGGATATTCTTCCCTGCTTTGTCAAAGATTAGTTGACCGTATGGTTGTGGGTCCATTTCTGGGTTCTCTGTTCTGTTCCATTGATCTGTGTTTTTGTGCCAGTACCTGTCTTAATGACTACAGCTTTGTAATATAGCTTGATGTCTGGAATTGCGATGTCTCCAATTTTGTTTTTCTTTTTTCAGGATTGCTTTGACTATTTGGGATCCTTTGTGGTTCCATACAAATTTTAGTCTTGTTTGTTCTAGCTCTGTGAAAAATTACTGGTAGTCTTTTGATAGGGATTGCATTAAATGTGTAGATTTATTTGGGCTGTATAGACATTTTAACAGTGTCTGTTCCTCCAATTTATGAGCATGGAATGCTTTTCCATTTCTTTGTGTCCTCTTCAATTTCTTCCATAAGAGAGAATCTCAAGCAGGCTCCATGTTGTCAGAGTGGAGTCCATGAAGTCAGGAGATCATGACCTGAGCCCAAACCAAGAGTCAGATGCTTAACCAACTGAGCCACCCAGTCACCTCTCATTTCTTTTTAAAAATTTTTAATGTTTATTTATTTTTGAGAGAAATAGAGTGAGAGAGACCAAGAGCACACGAGTGGGAAAGGGGCAGAGAGAGAGGGAGACGCAGAATCCAGAGGAGGCTCCAGGTTCTGGTCTGTCAGCATAGAGCCCACTGTGGGGCTTGAACTCATGAACCTGAGATTATGACCTGAGCCAAAGTCGGATGCTCAACTGACTGAGCCACCCAGGTGCCCCAGGCACCTCTCATTTCTAATTGAAAGAAAGTCAAATTGGCACAGCTATTGTCAATTCTAACAGAAATGAAACAATATTTATCAGATATCTAAGGAAAGGAAGTTTGAACCAACAATTTTAAATCCATTCAAGCTGTCCTTCAAGTGTCAACACTACAGGCAACAATTTGTGCAAATTCAAGAACTCGGGGAATACACTCTATATTAGGTCTTACTGAAGCATCTCCCAAAGAACAAAATTTATTCATCCAAAAGATGATCAGGGAAACTTCACCAAAAAGACTAGGGGTGAACATTAGAACTAGGACTAAAACAAGAGCTAACTTAAGGGGTACAAAATAAAATACACATACAAACATTTATATAAATCTTCAATGTGGAGGCTATTATTTTAAAAATTATCGTTCTCAATATATTTTTATTCTAGTGCCTGCCTTTGTTTTTACGTTTTTTAAAATGTTTTTTATTTATTTTTTGAGAGTTAGAGAGAGTGTGAGCAGGAGATGGTCAGAGAGAGAGGGAGATACAAAATCTGAAGACAGGCTCCAGGCTCTGAGCTAGCTGTCAGCACAGAGCCTGACATGGGGCTTGAACCCATGAGCCACAAGATCATGACCTGAGCTGAAGTCAGATGCTCAACCGACTGAGCCACCCAGGTACCCCTAGTGCCTGCCTTTATAATTAGGCTTTTATATAATACCCTTAGAATGTTCTTTATTCAGACAATAGCTATTGATTCCTATTATGAACATCAAGTGAGTTAACTTGTAACTTCTTCCTCCTGTCTTTTCTCTGTAACTTGCTGTACCCAGTTTTAGTCAATATCATTTGTTTTGGAATAAATTGTGTTCTCCAAAACTTCATGGGATAGATGTATGCTACTTTTGCAAGGAAATGTCCTACCTTTTTCCAAAGTGGTTGCACTACTTCTCATCATCACCAACAATGTTGAGAGCTTAAGTTGTTTTATCATCTTGCCAGCCTATGGGTGTTGACAGTTATTTTAATTTTAGCTAGTGTGATGAGTAGGTAGTAAATTAGTATTTCTTTGTGGTCTTTGTATTTCTTAATGATGTTAAGCAACTTTTATGTATGTTCCCATGTTTTTCCCTGTGATGAAGTCTATTTCTTAGTACTCAATTGTCTAAACCCTCAAAATCCCTTTGGGATTATGACCCAAATTGTTTAGTCCTATACATTGATTTGGAAGAGGTCACAAACTTAATCTTTCCTCTTTCCACTCTTCAAAGCTTTTAACTCTTTCAGGTAGCATTTTTATTTCATATAGTCTTCAAGTTACTTTTTTTAAGGATTATTCTTAGACCTAGATATTTTATGTATTTGTGGATATTATATTTTTTAATGTTTCTCTGTTTATTGATTATACATAGGAAAGATTGGCTTGTAGATATTTTTCCTATATCCAGCAACATTATTAAGCTTTCTTGTAAGTTATAATAGTTTTTCAGTTCTAGTTATAATCGTGTCACATTAATGAAGTGTTTTTAAGCAGATATAGTTTCTTTTCCTTTAGTTTTTCTATTGCATTGTCTGGAATAGTGGTTCTTAAGCAGAAAGATTTTGCCCCTCAGACATTTAGCAATGTCTGGAAACAGTTTTGATTGTCACAACTCTCTGGTAAGTTAAGGCCAAGGATGCTGCTAGACAGTTTACAATGTGTAGGAAAGAGTCATTTGGTTCAAATGTCAATACTGCTGAGATTGAGAAACCCTGCTCCAGAACCTCTAGTGATATACTAATTAGTGTTGAAGTTAAAGCAATCTTGCCTTATTCTTGATTTTAATGTGAATGTCTATCATTGATATAAAATTTGATTTAAGTTAATTAGAATTATAAAAGAAGGAATTTATTCAAGAATGCTTTGTGAACTAGTAATTCTCCAGTGGTGACAAGCTAATCATGGAAGGGCCTCTCAAAAAGAAGAAGTTGTAGAAATGGTGTGAGAAGGTAGGTAAAGAAATCCATTATGTGGTTGATGATTGCCAGGGAACATTCCCTTCCTCACTGGAATTACTACAGTATAAAGTACTATGCAAAATTAGTTAATATCAGCTAGATTACATTGGACCTGCACACCTTTCAATTTTGCCATTAAAACAATGATATCACTCACAGTGAAGGTCTTCTTTAGGTTAGAAACTTATCTGAACTCCATGTTTTTATGTCTGAATAGGTCTATTCAGCCTCAACTCTTATTTTTCCTAATTAGCATTTTGAAGACATTTTTCAAATTCTTCTTTTCATCTAATATTGATGAGAAAGCTGTTATTAATGGTTCAGTTTTCATTCCTTATATCTTATGGGGACCTTTTTTATTCTTTTATTTTTTTATTTTTAAATTTTTTTTTAATGTTTTTATTTCTAGGGGAGAGAGACAGCGTGAGCAGGGGAGAGTCAGAGAGAGAGGGAGTCACAGACTGAAACAGGCTCCAGGCTATGAGCTGGCAGTCAGCACAGAGCCCGAAGCGGGGCTGGAACCCACGAACCGTGAGATCATGACCTAAGCGAAAGTCGGACGCTTAACCGACTAAGCCACCCAGGCGCCCCGACCTTTTTTATTCTTGATGCAGTAAAATTTCACTACGATCAATCTTTTCCCTCACTTTCTCTTTCCTCTTGGAGCTCTAATTAGATCTTTTGTTGGAACTACATGATTTAATATCTTAAATACCATTTCTTTGTTTCTTTGGTGGAGAATTTCTTAGCTTACATTTAAATCATTTGTTTAATTAGCTGTGTTTGAATATTCAGTCCATTTGTTAACTTGATTTCTTTTTACCCTAAGATATCATTTAATTGGCTCTTTATGATCACTTATTGCTTCAAAAAAAAAAATATCCCTTTTTTTGCCCAAGATTCTATCTTACTTTCAGTTACCTGTTTTCTTGTAATTGCTTTTATCATGTATTGGTTTTCCTCAAGTGTAATAATTGACACTATTTTACAAACTAACAGAATACATAACCTGAGTAGGTATTGTTCTACATATTTTACATATTACTTAATCCTCTTGTTAACTATAAACTAAATACTATTAACCCCACTCCATAGACAACTACAGTGAGTCAATGAGGTAAAAAGTTTATTCAAAGCATTGGAGCTAGTAAGTTTTGGGATGACAACATAATCCTATAGAGCAATCTTTCTTCCCAGGTTGTATAGGAGTCACATGAGGCCCTTGGGTCTGTCTGACCCAAGTTTGCATGCTCATTATTTGCTCCTAAAGCAATTAGGCTGGTGGCTGCCAGGTGGCCAACAGTGGAGTGGGTAAGGACAGCCACATACTTGTCTTCAATGCCTTCCTTGCCTGTGTACCCTCCTATTCCCTATGCCTACCTTCAACTATGAAAGGACACTTGGGTTGCAGCTGCCTGTCCATTGTGCACTTTCAAGTGAGTCACCATTTCTAGGCCAAAAGCTCGTTTTCAAGTTTAGCTTTGCATTTAGGAGAAAACCCTACTATTTCGTAGACTTAAAATATGTATACAAGCTAGAGGGGAGGTGAGCTTTAGTAAGACCTACAGAAATTACTATTTAATTTCTATTATATCCACTTGGACTGGTTGAATTTATCGAATCCTGACTGTGCATCTGGGGGTTGTTGGGACTATGAGGGAAGGCTTTAAGTGTAATGTACCCACTGTTCCAAGAAGCTTTCACCAAACTCACACTGATGGAAATAACCCTTCTTGTACTCCAATAGCAATTTCTTTAACACAGTTATAATGCAAGACCAATTTATTTCCATGTACAACAATGAAGATTGAGATACTAGATAAAAAGGAAAGCAGTCTTCTGTCAAATAGAGATCAAGATTCTTAAGTAGCTTTTTGAAACCTATTACAGTGGAAGACTTGCTTTGTTGCCTTAAGATGTTAAGCCTGTTTACCTGATGGTTCACCAAGGCTTTCAGGTGTGACTTCCTTCTCAGTCAGCCTATCTAATTCCTTTTGATAGCTACGTTGGTATTCCAGATAGTTTATGTTCCTTTTCTGTTTATCCGGGAACTTTTTCAGGAAGTTTAGGAGCTACAAAAATAAAACAGCAAAGGACTCATTGAAGACCTTTGTCTGCAATGGGAGATGATGTAAATCTTGCTACCCAACTTCTACTGCATGGACCAGCAGTTCTGGGAGCTTGTCAGAAGTGCAGAATCTCACCCAGACCTAAGAAATCAGATTTTAAGAAGAGACTAGGCTATTCATATGCATGTTGAAATTCCAAGAGGTTTAAAACATTCAAGACCTCCAGATGATTACAAATATCCACTTTCAATGAATTTAAGTGTTAGGGCATCTCCTCAAAAGCATAGTTAATTTAAGTAAGGAGCTCCTACTGCAATGGTATTCTACCCTGTCTATTTGGATCATATGGAGGTTCTGAGTAGGCATCCCATACCCCAATCCTGAAGATTTAAGTGGTATAGCATAAGACCCAGTCATCTGTAGCTCTTCAGAACTTGTGAGTCCAATATCTTCTAAGGTTGATAACTTTTATATTAGAACAGTTTTTTTCCATGGACTTTTAGAAGCAAGGGAGTTGGTAACAAAGTTACTGCTACAAGGTTGAGTGTTCACCATTAACCAAGAAGACTTCAGAAAAGTCTATAGGGTAAGAGGTCTAAGAGTCACTGTTAATATTCAGTTTTGCAGGGACACTCAAGGATAGTTCTCAAAGTATAGCCCCTGGTCAGCAACATCACCTGGAAACTTGTTAGAAATGCAAATTCTTGGATACCACATAAAACCAATTGAAATAGAAATTCTGGGGGTAAAACCCAGCAGTTTATTTCAGTAAGTCCTCCAGGTGATTCTGTTATCTATTAAAATGTAAGCACATTTGGTCTAAGATTTACAAGCCAGCAACATTATCCAGAGTGTACCATTCCTAGCAAGTCTTCTCTATCTTGTGTTGAGTTGCACTCCTTGCCAGTACACCTACTCTTCCCACACCAACGTACTCCCAGAAATAAGTTCATATACATCCTTGGGGGAAAACAAGCATGTATTGGATGATTTTTTTTAACCCATTTCTTAGAAGTAAGTTATAATTAGAAGTTAAAGACGTCCTTGCTTTCAGAGTTAACTACTTACATCAATTTCACTATTCTGAGAAGCCAAGCTCATCAGGTCTTGCAGGAGTTTGCTTAATGTGTTTTCCAACTGCAGAGCAGACTCTATAGCTTGAATGCCAGTTCCCCAGTTTTCTATGTCAGGCCTCTGTTGAAGAACAAGAAAGTCATTTTTCTACCTCAGAACCTTTGTTAAACTCTACACCTTGGGTTCCCTTATGATTAGGTTTACATAGGCTAATAGTTTCCAAACTTTGTGCCACAATGGAATCAGCAGAACGTCTTAATTATTCATGCAGAAGTTCTGGATTAATTGGCATGGAAGGTAACATGGTATCAAGATATTTAAAGGCTCCCCATATAATTTTAATATATTACAAATCTTGATTACTACTAGTACAGTTACATGCACTTTGGAATTCCATGATGGTGGTTCAGTTCTGTTACTACTAGACATTTCGTTCTCTTTGTGAAGCTGGAGTTAAAAGAATCTGTCAATTAGTAGGAATATTTCTGCATTTAATACACCCAGTTAAGATTTAGATGGTCTGTTGGAGTGTATATCCCAGTGAAAAAACAATGTTTTACTACATTGAGGACAGCCATATTAGATACCCAAATGTGCATCTGAATTAGACTAAAAATCTAATGTAAGATGTTAACACATTTAGGAAGAAGTCGTTAGAGGAGTGCTTCTCAAATTATGCAGAGCATTAGAATCACCTGGAAAGCTTGTTAAGTTACCACTCCTTGGGCCCTACCCCTAGAGAATCTGAATCAGTTTGTCCTGTTGGGTTCATAAATTTGCAGTTTTATTAAGTTCCCAGGTGATGCTGATGCTGCTGGTCTATTAAAACAAACAACAAGGAGCCCCTGGCTGGCTCAGTGGGAAGAACATCCGACTTTTAGTCCCAGGGTCAGGAGTTTGAGCCCCATGTTAGGTGTAAAGATTATATAAGTTAAAAATATATACATAAAGAAAAACCAAACAAGCATTTGGTGACTAAGATTTACTTACAATATGAAGAGATTAAAACACATGCTTGCCCTCAAAGTCTGTTGCTATAATCCCATGTGAGAACATGAGTAACCTTACAAGTTAGGTAGCAACTAATCATTTGGCTCTCTGGGCCCATGGAGATCGTCATAACAAAGTAACAAATTTACATAGTCACCTTAATCACCGGAAGGCAGATTTTACTCTGATGCTCTCTTAAAAATGTTATGAACTGCTTTGCATGTTCTTTCTTCACTTCAATTTGGTCTTCAAAGAAGGTGAGATAAAGAGGAGCTTCCGTCTCTTCATCGTAGTAATAGGACTGGAACAGGAATGAGAATGGGATCAGAATGGAGGTGAGAAACTGAATTTGAAGACTGAAAATCTTATACAAGCTAACTTCATTATTTCTGTGGTTGCCCAAAAGGGGCCTTCTTTATTCTTTCCCTAGTTCGTTCTTTGATTTTCAGAAGGCCTTGGCTGTCTTTCTGAACCCAGGCTACCTCAATGAGAAGTCCCCCAGATTCTAATATGTGGGTGTCTAATCTTTGGCCATTAGGGACATTTTAAGAGTCAGATTTGTGAATCTGACATGCTGGCACTTATATCCAGTAAACATGTAGAAATGCTGGGAGAAGGCCAATATAAATTGACATTTTAAATGTCAATCTATTTCATCAATCCTAATATATCTAAAAGATCATATGGGTGAAAAATTATTTAGTCTTCCCACATACATAATGCTCATATAGCATTGGGCAACCACAAGAAAGAACTGTGATTCTCCCTATCATCTCCCAGAGCTTGCACTTGAAGCTCCAAATCATTGGGCCACAGTGCAGCAAAACCCTAGCCACCAAGTTACTGTCTCATCTAGTATCAAACTACAAACATGGCCATAGCTACCATTACTAAAGATACAGAGGATATGTCATCACCCAAATCAGAGCTGAAACCTCCCTTACAGCACCTCAAGAACTCATACTAACCATACTTAAGTAAGCGTCACTGACATTCAACTCATAAGATGCTATATAATTAACAGCAACCCTACAGGCCTCAGAGAGGACTCTTGGAGGCTGGGATCCCATCTTAGCTTTAGAGAACACCAGGCATAAAAAGCGCTACCGATTAACGTAGAAGACTTCTTAAATACTAACAGGCATATAGCCAGCCCACTTCCATCCAGCTGAAAATCAGATGAAATTCCATCCAGCTGAGATTAACAGCTACTAATCTACCAATGAGGATGTTGTTTCTGCATGAAAAAACCAATCTGACCTAAGAAAAATAGGAGGAGGCCCCTAATCCTCCTAACTCTCCTAGCAGTGTTCAGTTTTCTCCCTCATTTTCACTCTGAATATGAGAAAGTTAATACATTTCCTGAATAGGGAAACATTAACAGAGTAGCTGCATTACATTTCATGTTCTTCTTTTTTCAAAAACTCTTTGTGGCATATCATGCTAGGTCCTGTGGGGAATCAAGGAAGACTGACTAAAATGCATTCTTTGCCTAATAGGTGACATATCTCCCACCTCATAAGTTCTCAACACACAAATTGATCTTAAGGTAGGATATGATGGGAGTTCTAAAGTGTCAAAAGCACATTTAGCTGAGAGGATTGGGACAGATTTTATTCATAAATTGGCATTTGAAATTGGCCTTGGAGGGTGGGTGAAATGTAGAGAAATGGAAATGGAAGCAGGGCATTCCACCTGGAGAACAGGAACACAGAGGCTGTAGGGACAAGATATATAGTGGGTTCTCCAAACTGCAGAAGACTGCTTCATTTAGCAACCTTTTGGCTCCTTCCTCAAACTGTCCCCAAAGTCCCTATCTGTCTCATCATATACCTTCTTTATTTGCCTCCTTTCAGGGCAGAGACTGTTTTACTTATTTTGGTATTCCCATAGCCCATAATGGAGTATTTTGTAAATAATAGGTATTAAGTCAACATTTATTAAATAAAAATATATTTTATATGCACAGCCCTGTAAAATTTCCCATAGTCTGGTGGATTCTTAGTTTGAGCCTAAGCTATGTTTAGTTGAATTGAAATAGAAGAGACAAATCATCAAAAGTCTATGAGGCAGTAAGGAGCGAGAGCAGCTCCCAAGGGAGAGCTTTTCCTAAGAGAAGTACCCAAGCATTCCAAGTTTGGCCCAGTCACAAAGATAAGGTCATCAAAGGGAAGGAATCATTATAAAAGGTCCTAACATTGTCACTTTTGTTCCCTGACCCAACATTGCCTTTGTCCCCACTTGAATTCATGCCTTAATCCCAGGGAAGTACTTTTAGGTGCTTCTCAAACTGTTGTTTGAATATGAATCACCTGGGGTTCTTGTTAAAATGCACATTCAGATTTAGGAAACTGAGATTCTGCATTTCTTTCCTTCTTCCTCCCTCCCTTTCTTTCTTCCTTCCTCCCTCCCTTTCTTTCTTCCTTCCTTCCTCTTTTCTTTCTTTCTTTCTTTCTTTCTTTCTTTCTTTCTTTCTTTCTTTCTTTCTTTCTTTCTTTCTTTCTTTCTTTCTCTCTTTCTCTTTCTCACTCTCTCTTTCAGAGAGAGTGTATGCAAGGAGGGGAGAAGGGCAGAGGGAGAGAAAACCTTAGGAGCCTGACACAGAGCTCAATCCCATGACTCTGGGATCATCACCCTAGCAGAAAACAAGAGTTGGATGCTCAAACGTTTGAGCCACCCAGCCACCCTGAGATTCTGCATTTCTAAAAAGTCTGCCAAATGCTACTGGTCTATGAACCATATTTTGAGTAGCAAAGGTGCCAAGACATGGAATATATATAGCACTGCCGAGGAGCCCTCTACCAGGAGAGGAGAAGCGGGCCTTCCACACGGCTTCTCCACACACCCACAGGGCTCAGGCCTGCCAGGGAGTCAAGAGCTTCCATGGCAGCAGCCTGGGAAGGCAGCAGAGCCAGGGCACTCAGCAACAAGAGGAAAATGATAGTTAACCAGATGATTAACTGGTTGTGCTCACGGTATGTGTAAAACATTACCTGAACTCCCAAAAGAATTTAAGGAAACTTGTCAGGAGATTAGAGTCCTGTGTGAACAGATGGGGAAAAGTGACAATAAAATCTGGACTATTACTTTAATATGAACCCATCTACAAAACAGTAAATTTGGAAGATAAAGTTCTTACTTACAGGGAGATATTATGAGCGTTAGATAATTTCCAGATTATATATAAGATCTTCTCATGTAAACATTCCATAATTCTACCATTCCAAAACACAGAACTAAATATGTATGAAGAAAATGTTCCTGTTCTTGTGGGCTAAATATTATTAAGAAACATTACTATCTAATCACTTAAAAACAATATATAGAAAAAAAGAGAGGAAAGAAACACATCATCAATATATCAGTAACAGTTGTGTGAGTATGGGAACCTTACAGGTGATTTTTTTTTCTATTTTTCATATTTTTTCAAGCTTTATAATCTATATATGTATTTTTCATTTTGAAAAAGAACCTAAGAAAACCTCTCTAGAGAATTAACATAATGCTTTTCTCTAATGGAAGCTCCACACACATATTTATGAACATAGTATTTGTTTTCTAATTATAAATGTAGTGTATGATCACTATAAAGTATCCCAAAATTACAATATACAATGTAGAAGTGAAAGGCCAATGGTAACACTGTAGTTCCTATACATATATTTAAATCTAATTTCACCCATAATGCCACTATTACATTTTGATAACCTAATGAATTGACTTTTGAATTATGGAAAATTATTAGACTGGTCTATGCACCCTTTCCCCTGGAATGTGCTAGAAATACAAAGACTTTTTTAAAAAAATTATATAATTCCTCTTAAAGTTTTTTGGGTTTTTTAAAATATTTATTTTTGATAGAGACAGAGCATGAGGCGGGGGGGGGGGGGTGGGAAGGGCAGAGACAGAGGGAAACACAGATCTGAGCTTCAGGCTCTGAGTTGTCAGCACAGAGCCGGACTTGGGGCTTGAACTCATGAACTGTGAGATCATGACCTGAGCTGAAGTCAAGAGCCAGATGCTTAACCAACTGAGTCACCTGGGCATCCCTTCTTAAAGTTTTTTTAAACCTAATCCACACTTTTTGTCCTGTTAGTTCACCTTATCATCTTCCTGATGATTAAGGAAGCAAGGGGCTCTCTTCTGGACTTGATTCCAAGCAAGAAATTTTTATCTTTAAAAGTAAAATATCTTTAGTGGAGCATTTATTATTCTCTTTATTATGTTCTTTGTGCACATGTTGTCCCTATTTGTTTTTGTAAGCCTCATGAGGAGAGAGCCTACATTTCAATCACCTTTGTATCTCCCAGAGCCTGTAATACAGTAGAAAGCACTCAGTGAATTATAGTGACTGAACAATTTGAAAGTAAAAAGGGACCTAAAAGTTTAAAGTTGTTGCCTATCAAGAAAGGAACAATGGGCAGAGCAAAATAAATACTTTGCACTTTGGGAAAGCAGATTTCAAAAGTTCCCAAAAATCATGTGGGAGGGAGATAGCAGGGAATTCTGTCATCTTTGAAAGAAAAGACAATATTTAAACAATCCCAGGCACTGAGTGGGTTTTTAAAAAGGGTTTATGGGTGAAAGAGTAAATGAGTGAGGTAATTTATTAAAATAGTTCAATAGTAAGCCTTGACGCTAAGATTCACGCATGAGTCTGGTGAGAAAGAAAGGGATGGCATTTACAGAAATCCTTGTACCTGCACACATCCTGCAGCCTCTACCTCCAGACTTAACATGGCTGTCATATCCTCCAAAACGTGTTTTCTAACTTTGACAGTCTATGTTTAGCATCCCCCCTTCATGCACCTTGGTTATAGTAATTCTTTTCACACCTTTGTAACTGCTTGCTGACCTGTATGTCTTCTCTACTAGTTAGTGTATGAGCTCCTTCAAAGTAGTTGCTCGTGTCATGACTTGGTATTGCCATCATCTAGCAAAGACTAGGACATAGCAGATTGTTGATAGATATCCATTCACTATGAAACAGTAAGTAAATGGGTCAAATGTTTAAAGGGGAAACACAAAAAGATGGAAGACAAATATATGAGGGGAATGAAAATGTAAGAGAAGTATTAGGAAATATAAACATTCATGTGTGTTAGGGCTTAGGAATATATATATTTTTAAAGCTAACACCAACAAATCTCATATATTAATAGAGAAATACAAGTGTCACTGTAGGGACGTAAGAAGTAGAAGGAAAGTCTAAGTAGTGTAGGAGGGAATAAAAGAGCACCTAGATAATTTCAATCAGGGCACATGTCCAATTCTAGGTGACCTTTACTCTTTGGGTGAAAT